GCATAGTTATTTTTAGGCTTGTTGTTTCATAATATATCAGTAGTGCTGCAGTAGTCCAAAAGAGCTCCGTATCAGCTCAGGATGCTTTTCTTTGACAGTCATAATAGTAATCACAATAATTAACTTGAGGATTTTTTTCTCTCAATTGTCTGGAATTTTATAAACAGAACATTTTCTTGTTTGCAACACTTTCAGACTATTTTATGTGTATACTTATCTACATGATGTTGATTATGGGCAAGGATAATTGAAGAGCAGGATTATACGGAGGGGGGGTCACTGTGTACAGTAGGATATAAGTGGTTCTGCCTTTCATTTTGTCGTTTTAAATTAAGATGTAAAGTCTGCAGCTTTTTACTTATTCCATGCTCGTGCAAACTTGAGAAGCAAAAACCTAATCTGGGGTGAGGTTTACCGTAGGCTCCTGGATTCGCCTTCAGTCCACAAAGCAGTAATTACTTACGCAGTAAATCCAGACACCAGACTGAAAAGGCTGAACAGGGGTTGACTTGAGGAGGAGGATAGAGCCAACTCTGAGTTTTCACCCATTTCTGCCTTCAGGCACTTCTGAGGAAGCGCTTTTCATTGACACAGTCCTCCCAGAACAGAGACACTGCTAACAATTAATTCAGACCACATTTATTGAGAACCTGTGAAAATGGCTGGAAGATTGAAACATCCCAATTCCCTTAGTGGGTCCTCATCCTCTGCATGCGCAAACACCAATTTCCAGTAGATGAAAGAGGGCACAAGCTAGAGCACCGAGAGGGAGATGAAAGATTTTATCGTCTTTACTGAGATTTCTACACTGATGCCACTCTGTGGATGTTACAGCCTTTTAGAAATGTTCAGTCACCTACAGGTCAGCGGAAACATGCGGATGTTCTTTTAGCCACCCCACTCGGTCACAGTCAGACATATTCCAAACATAATCAGTGTATGTGTCTGTGTTTCATTAATGCTTTCTTTAACATCTCAGACTCTGCTCTGCGTTGACCTGAATGATGGACTGTGAATTCCTGAAAGCTCTGACTGATGGTAAATGTCAGAAAGTAGCCTCATCTCAGGCGCCCAGAGCACAGCACTGCATAACCAGAGGGTCTGCATCATTTATGAAAAACATACATAAGTAAAATACGAAGCGGGTTCAAAGATTCAAAGGTTCAAACTCTAAATATTGAATTAGGACAAACTATGTATAGGGTTTAAAAAAATGGAATAAAGCCAAGATTATAATCAGAGCAATAATATAACACTTAAACAATCTGAAGAGGGCCACTGACACCTGTAAAATCTTTAAAAGGCAAACGTTGCTTTGTGTTTCAGATGATGAAGGACCAGATCCTCCCGAACAGTTTACTGCCATCAAGCTCTCAGACACACGGTGAGTATACAAAGATAAACTGCATTGTTTTTTCATCTTCTCACCAGTAGATTTATTACCCCATTTCTGCATTTTATATTAAGGATCTGTTTCTATTGTCAAGATGTACACAAGTAATTTACCAGCCCATGGGCAATCAATCCTTGAAGATACGCTGCCTGTTACAGAGCTATTTCTTATGCATTAGTTTCAGTGATAGATCTCAGATTCATACACTAATGTTATTGAACTATTCTTTTCACAGAGAAACACATATTCTGTGGCGAACGTGTTTTGAATATTAGATTAGCCTTTCTTACAAATCTGTTTAGGGTTTTTTTCTTTTTTGCTGTCGCAGGATAGCCTTGAAGTCTGGATATGGAAAGTACCTCGGCATCAGCTCTGAGGGTGTGGTGATGGGGCGCTCTGATGCCATTGGCTCCAGGGAACAATGGGAACCAGTCTTCCAGGATGTGAGTAAATCTTCTAATCGATGTATGCCACCAGTTCAATAATGATATGCAGAGCTGCTGTTTGAGTTTCTTTCTAGTCCAGTGAGTTTTTTGCAGAAAACAAACGCCTCTTTTCAAGATTCCAGATTGGTAGCTTGAGTAGTTTCTGGTGGTGACAGAAAATGTGGCTTAATCCCACAGGTCACAAAACTATTGATTTTATTATTAATGTCAATTTCAGTTATTCTGGCAGACTCATGCTGCACATATTTGAGTCTGCCAGCAGCAGGGCTGTGAAAGAAGTTTGTTACCTCATGAAGAGGTGTGCAGCGTGCTGAATGCAGCTCACTGTGGCTTCTGCTCATTGTTTTTTATCTTATAAGTATAATATATATATATAATATATATTATACTTATATGCTATAACATGCTGAATACTACAGCCATACAGTGATAAATCCTGAAACCTACTGAATTCTCTGTGATTATGTCAAAATATAACTCAACCCACCAATTAAATGCTGCAGCTGCCGGGAACGTTCACATTGCATTAGCATTAAGTTGATACGGCCTTTGTTTGTTTTTGTTTAGTTTTCTTTTTGTTTTTGCTGTTGGCACAGTTACCCAGTTTGTGTTATTGCAAGTCGCGACTGAACATCTGACATTTATTTTGAAAATTAGAGTTGCTTGATCTCACACTACAGCATCAGCATAATAGACCAAAACAAGCAGGTGCAGCCCCCACACTACCCCTCCTCTTCCTTTGTGTTTCATTTACATCCACCTGGAAGCTTGTGACGATCCAACCGAAAACCAACCCGTCGCTATATAATACAATAAATGTCCCTAGCAAGTTGTTGTCAAGTAATTTCATTTGTACAATTGTTTGCCTTTTGTGGCTGAATGCTCTCTGACTTCCTATTTTTTCATTGCCGTGTTAGAAGAGACTCTTTTTAATAAAAGGGACAGTGTTTTCAAAGGAATGAGGTTCACATAGATATGGATGGCCAGGCTGCCGAAACATAGAATAGAAAACCTTAGATACTTTATTCTCTGCTAATGAAGCTATCACTCCACTAAATCTAGTAAATGGTTCCACTGGGTTTATTGAACCCTTCTCGATAGAGTACACCAGCCAGATTTAACTGCTAAAGGCACTGGATTAAAATAAGAAAAATAATGATTATGTCATAGTTTCTAATTGCCTTCATTATCAAAGTGGCTGCCAACAAACACTGGAGGGACCCTGGCGTCTTACTTTTAATTGGTGTGCAGCCTTTTAGTCCCTTTACTGTCTGACTTTATACTCTGAAGAGATGATTTGGTTAAAAAGGCAGTCGCACAAATTTAATCAGTGCATTTACTAGCCCGCTAGCAGCAGCACCACTGTGCAGTGAAGTGCAGAGAACACGTGCATGTGAAGATAGAAATCTAAACAAAGATAACAGACTAAATAAAGATAAAAATTAAAGCATCAGATAATGCTGTGAACACTAAGTTGCTCTACTGATCGCACCGACGCAAGTAAGATAATAGACTAAACAATTAGTGGTCTGATAAGATATTTGAATATATTTACTTGGGTTTTCTCTTTTTTTTCATATGTTTTGGATACCTTCAAACTTGCAGAAGAATGATAAATGTTTTTAATAAGAACTTTATGTTCTTGAAATTTGTAAATATTTCTCTCCGTGAGTGCCAGCAGTTAGTATTTGAAACACAACATACATATTTTGTGGTTGTGTCACATCGTGTAAAAGGATCGCTTATGTTTTAGTGCCTTTGTTTTGTTTTTGTTCAACCAGCCCCAAAGAGCCCTGATTCATACAACATGCCTCTCGACTGACATTAAGCCCATGGGAGATGGCATTTACCTGAAGTTATGAGCAACTAGCTCATTATGCAGAAAGCATCTACCTTATCACTGCAGCGTGCTGCTTGCCTTCATGCTTTGTTGAAACTATAAACAAGCTGCCCAGCACAACCTTGAAACTCTTTTACATCAAATATTGGGCAACCTTTCATGCCTGTCACAACAACCAATCCCACTGCAATTCTATCTAATCTACGCCCTCCCCCCCCTCTCCCCCTCTCCCCATCTCCTGTGTTTTCTTTCTGTTCTGCTTCAGGGTAAAATGGCTTTCCTGGCAGCAAATAGCTGTTTCATTTCCTACAGTGACAACGGGGACATTGTGGCCAAGAGCAAGACAGCAGGGGATGGCGAGATGGTGAAGGTGATGTGTAAATAGTGTTCTTCCACAAGGTTGCATGTTAATCCTTTGATTTTAAGCATGCAATCTCTGTAGGGGCCTGACTGTTAAGTGGGAAGGGGGAAATGTCATGACCTCACTTCATGGAGTTCAAGATATTGATATGTAACGCACCACTTCCCTCCTGCTCCTCTCTCTCTCTCTCTCTCTCTTTCTTCTTTCTCTTTGTTTTTTGTTTTTTTCCGACTGGACAAAGAACAGATCCGAACTTGTGCAGAACGAGAGGTCAAGCGTAAAGATGACATTGCAGATGAGGACAGGGGCAACGTGAAGTCCTGCGAGATCAATTATGTGTGCGTAACCTCTGCTGTTTATAAGCTGTGCTTATGAAATGTGTAAGCAGCCCAAACAAAGACTAATGAAGAAAAAATGTTAAGTTCTCTTATATTTTCTTTGGAATCATCTCCGATAAAAGGGTTATCGGAAATTAGAATAAGTAAATGTTATAATTACCTGTTATTCTTTGCTAAGTTCAGTAGATGCTTTTGTGCTCCATTAATGTGAAGTTTAACTAGAAGTTTCTGTTCTCTTTCAAAATAGGCCAGTGAAAAAGAGGACGTTGTAATTTATTGACGTTCATGTTTCAAAGGTGACCAGAAAAAGCGGCTGCATGTACCACGGCCCACTACTTTAAAAAAAAAAAAGGCTTGTAGCAAGCAGTGAAACACAGATAAGCTGATGTGCTTATGTGAGGCGTTCCAAGATGGTTAAAATGATAGGAAAAGAGGGATATCTGACAGGGAATTACTGTATCTATAGCAAAGCTATAGGTATCAGTCAGTATGAATTCTCATCGATAAGCTACTCAAAAAACAACGTAGTTAAACTAGTTTTACCTCCAGTGTTTACAACGTCATAAAAACATTAAATTTAAAGGCATTCATTAAGAGGTACCAGGTACTTTTTTAGTACCTACTTTACTGGGTTTCCAAGTGAGTGGAGTCGCATGCCACTGATTGGCCAGCCAGTGGCATCACTCGACGAGTGAAAACAACTTTTTGAAACCCAACAACAAGGTAAACAGCAGCACAAAAACCAACACCGTGTCCTTGAGTCTGACTAAAAGCTGTAGCCCGAGCAGCAGATGTACCATCGCCTCAACGTTCTTCATTGTTTTGTTGTGTTTGTGTCGCATACAAATGACATCAAAAGACTTTTGGCCATGTTGCTACGGCGACCTGACACACATTGAGGTGGCTCTCAGTTGTAATGGAAAACAACCAAAACCAGATTGAGCCGAGTAGGTACTAGTGGAAAAGAGGAATAACACTTCTTTTATATGACATATCATTTGTAATATTTCAGCGTAAGTAAATCATCTGAACCCCGACCACACTGCTGGTCACAACTTCTCGATGTTCCAAACAGTGAGCTGCATCTACACATGATGCTTCGGTTTCAGAGGTTAGAAGACTGAAAAATGCCCAAGTTAAAATCGTTATGTTAGAAAAGGCCAAAGCTTAATGCCCGTTGGGTTAATCTCTGCATCCAGACAGGAAACGATTCGTGTCGATGTCACGATCAGAGATCATAGAAAACCACTGCCTTCGGTTTGGTGATGATGTCACTACAGTGGAAACACACTAGCAACCAGAGTTTGGGAGCTCTCAAGATAAACTTTAGTACAGGATACTGGTGATTGGCATATGGCAGAGTAGTAAATACATTCAGAGGGTTGCCTAGACAACCCGAGCCTGGACCAACCATCAGCTTCAAAATGATCATCACCTTTTTCCGTCCCATTTTCTGTAAATCATAAACTCTGCTTTGATAAGCTTTCTTTGTAAAAATTCATACTGCTAATAGAATTTGTCTTACAAGCACTTGATGCTTCCTATCAGTAATTAAATTTAATATTTTGCAATAATTTGACATTTTACAGTTTCTGCCGAGCACCATCTGCCTCCCCAAAACCAGGGAGGAAAATAAAAGGAAACAAACAGTAATTTCTTTATCCTCACAATTATCTTCAAGTGTCAGTCTCTACTGACAAGATTTGAAGAGCAAAAACACTTGCCTGGGTGTGAAGAAGATCACGCCTAAAGGATCTGCCTCATCAATCCAATGCCTTTAAAGGCACAATTGATGGTCTGCTGTAAAAGCGTGATGAGAAGGCAGGCAGCGGCGCATTTTCGCTTTCAATGCTTCAAGTGTTTTATATACAGCCTGTCTGTGGCCTATTAAGTTCCGGGCAATATGTCTGAAGCTGTGTTTTTGTTAGTTTTTTTGCTTGGCATGCTTTGGCTTTCGTTGGCCACTCTATTATTTGTTTTAGATGAATGCGGGGGAAATGGACTCATCTTGCTGACATGTTGATAATGGCTGCCCTTGAGCCTGTGTCTTGATGTAGTGTTTAGCGTCTGAAATGCTTTTCAGGATGGAGTGTGCCTTGGGAACGGCAAAATGCAGGCAGAATGGGAGAGAAAGTAAATATCAGAGAGGTTTCCGACACACTGCCGCGCTTGTTTATGAAGGTTTTGTCTCAGATATTTAAGTATGTTGTTAAGGTGGCTTAAGTTAAAATGAGGGATTATTTGAAGCTTTTTTCCAGGGACTTTATGATATTCAGGTGAAGCTTATTCAGATGCACAGCAACATGTATTAATTAAAGGGGAAATCCTACTACCCACTTCAACGCTTCTGGCAGCTGAGTATTTAAATAAGAGCACTGTATGCGTGGTCGCTGGTGGCAGCTGGCAGGCTTAACCATTCAGACTTTTGCTGTTTAGGTGCCACTGTCAACATTTAGATAATACTTGGGAGCATTATTTGGAATTATTTCTTAAGGTTTTAGCTGCTTATAAAGCCTTGATGTCATTGAACATTTCTCTGTGTGTGTGTGTGTGTGTGTGTGTGTGTGTGTGTGTGTGT